AAAACATGAAGAATTAGAAGAGAAGGCAGGAAGAGGGAGGATAGAGATATCAAAGTTTAAGGGGATCATATGAAGAGGAGAAGAAAAAGAGACCCTCTGAAGAAGGATTCTGAGAAGCAGAAGTCCTTAAGAGTACGGTGATGTAGAAGCTGGGGGAAGAGAGTTTCCAGAAGGATGGATTGTTCGACATAACCATAGAGAAGTCACTAACAATGGAAAAAGAGTATTCAGCCAGAATTATTATTCCACTAATAATGATGGGAGTGGTTTCTGAGGGTTACTTGTGGGCAGCAATCAGAGTGTAGTAAGCTGGAGACTGAGTAGGAAATCAGGAAATGGAGCCAGATAGGTTGGACAACTCTTTCTTGAAGTTGGTCATGCGAACAATTCCTGACATTGCTGGCTTCTTGTAGTTTTTTCTTCAGTGTTCTCTCCTGTGTTCTAGGGGCTTCGCTGGGCTGATCTGAGGGCCCTGGCAGCTCTGGAATTCTGTAGTTTTAGAAACTGGCCTTGGAGAAGTCCTTGAGACCATTTTGGCTCTGGTGATAATTTTCCTTCAGTGGAACTAAGGTGACTAGTCAAAGAGCTGAAGCTTCTGACTTGGCTGATCAAAGTTCATCACATGCACTGAAGCCACCTACTTGACAGATGCGGCGAAAAGCTACGCAGCTCTGGGCCCAGGACAGGATGCTGGGGCGTGGGCGGGGAAGAAAGCAGGTGCTAACCATACAGACAATGTGCCGATCAGAGCAGCAGGTTACATTTCCTATTTGTCTCTCAAAACAATTTTGTAGGAATCACCAAAGCAATCTTATCATGGTTTCTAAACCAGGTTGGGATGTGGGGTAGGGATTTCCATAGTTGCTTTTATTTTGAAGGTAATCTGATAAAACCATCCACAAGCCACTCAGAAATGTGTAATCCTACACACCTCGATGATTCGATTCATAGCTTAGACTATGAATAGAGTGTTTTTGATGTTGTTATTGCTTGTTTTTTACTATGTAGGTATGTAAAGAGTTGGCAATTGTTTAGAAAACTCACGTCTCATGCAAAACAAATTCCACAAAATTCAGGATGAGATTTGTGTCTGCCTATTCCTTAATAGTTTCCAAACTCTTTCACACACACCTTTACTGGATCCTTAAAACAAGCTATGGGAAAGACAAGGTAGGTGCCACTGCCCCACTGGACATGAGGAAACCGAGGCCTAGAAAGATGAAGTGATTGGCCGAAGGTAAATAGCAGTTTATTGGTAGAGTGAGGGCTAGAATCCGGGTCTCTCGCCTGTCACGTATTTTGCCTATTCTGAACCATTATATCAACAATTATCTGATGAATTGAACAATGTAGACTGGCATATGCTAATATTCCCACCTTCTTCTCAATCCCAGAATTTTGCCTCAAGACCCTGCTTCTCTTGGCCTTTGAGAAAATGTATTTTTCTTGAATTATTTCTCTAACCTAAAATTGAATCGTTTTCAGCCTTTCTTTTGCTCTGTACCATATAGACATGACTTGAAAAGCTGCTGGGGCTTCACTGGATTGAAAGATTAAAGAAATAAAATCTTGACATTCTCACCTGAGGGAAGCAATTAACCAGTGGCACATCAGTCACACAATCAATCTGGATTTTTGTTGCCCATTGTTTCTTTCCCCATCTACCAGGTTCCCGCTTTCTATTAGTAAGATTGAAATTGAAATAAGCCCGATGCTAGTGGATGAATTTGTCACTTTCCTTGAAACTGGTGAGCCCCCAAAAAATTAAACAGCGATAGGAAAATACTGCCATTGTCTGTTGAGAAGTCGATGGCATTTCAAGGCAAGAATGAATATATGGAAGAAGAGACTGTTTCTTCTTTACTAACAAAAGGGAAAGCCTGGAAGTGAATGATATGGGTATACTGAAGAAGAAAAAAAAAAAAAAAAAAAAACCTTTACGTAACTTTTTTTGCCGGGAGAGAAGACTACGAAGCACATTTTCCAGGAAGTGTGGGCTGCAACGATTATGCGCTCTTAACTAATCCTGAGTAAGGTGGCCACTTTGACAGTCTTCTCATGCTGCCTCTGCCACCTTCTCGACCAGAAGATATCATTTCAACTCTAACAAAGCATGATCGAAACTTATAGTCAACCTTCTCCTCGGTCTGTGACCACTGGACCTCCCGTCAGTATGAAAATTTTCATGTATTTACTTACTATTTTTCTTATCACCCAGATGATTGGGTCAGCACTTTTTGCTGTGTATCTTCACAGAAGGTTGGACAAGGTAAGATGAACCATAAGCCTTTATTAACTAAATTTGGGGGGTTCTTATTGATTTGCTGTTTCTTGGGTTCAGTTCTATCTAAATGATGGGAAATGGTAGAAACCCAAATAGATGAATGGTCTTGTGGCATAATATTGTTTGTCTAGTCAGGAGTGTTCCATATTCGTGTTTCTGGCTAAGAGCTTGGGCTCTGGAGGCAGACTACCTGGGTTCTAATCTTATCTCTGTTCCTACCAGCTTGGTGATTGCAGGCAAGTTATGTTACATTTCTATGCCTCAATTTCCACATCTGAGAAATTGGCATGAAATGGTACCCACCTCATAGATTAAATTAATTTAACCATATAAAGTACTTAGAACAATGTCTGCACATAGTTAGTACAGGGTAGGCATTAGCTATAATTGTTTGCTAAAGTCTTGCTTAAAAAGGATTTTTTTAAAGAGACACTGCATTTTCTTTTAAATTTCCAGTTAGGGAGGAAAAACAATTTCCTAGCACTTCAGATTAGCATAGACATGGATAAGTCCCAGAATTTGCCGTCTTTTAGTAAAAGTGGCTCTTCTCCGTGCAATTCTTCAAATGTTGCTTGGAGTTGCAAGCTGTTCAGTTGCCCTCCAAGATGTTTTAAATTATTAAACGGTTAGAGTCCAGCAATGGAAGAGTAGATAGCTTAGCAGGTTGCTTTGCGCTCTTAGAAAAGATAACCTTTAGGATTTGTCCTGCTTCCATGTGTTTGTCCACTTACACTGGGGGGCATTGTTGGATGTGGTGACAAAACATCAATCATGGGTGAACAGGAGACATCTTGATCAGTTATCAGCTGTTCCAAGAACTCTGGATGTGGGCATTGGGGGGGGGGCAGCATCCGGATGACTGCATTTTCTTAGGGATGTTCGGGTGTCCTGCATTGAGATTTAAAAAAAAAAAAAAAAAATCAAACCCATTGCTGTTGAGTCGAATTCCATCTCACAGTGACCTATAGGGCAGGACAGAACTGTCTCACAGGGTTTCCAAGGATGTCATCTTTACAGAGCAGATTGCCACATCTTTCTCCCACAAAGTAGCTGGTGGATTTGAACTGCCAACTTTTAAGCCAGCAGCAGATTGCTTAACCACTGTGTCACTAGGGCTCCTTTGCATTGGGATATAGACCTGGAAACAAGGCCATGGGGTTTTCTGTCAGGATAAGGTGACAGTGAAGTTTTATGCAGATTTTAGATTTCCTTGCTGAGAAAAGAGAGAGGCTTTGGGTCTAGTTGTTTATTTGTTTGTTTTTGGTCTGGTGGTCTCTGCCAATCAAAAGCCTGGGCATCGTTCTAGCCTCTAAAGGGGAGAGATTGACCTGAGGAGACAAATTTCCCAGAGCCCTGAGGTGTGCTCTCAGAGATAATGAAAACCACCCACTAATTGCATTTTGTTTTGAATCTAAAAATCTGATATTAAAACAAGAAAATGATACAGAATTTGTTGATTATACATGTGAATTCCATACATTTAATTGTTCAAAGACATTGGAAAATAAAATATCTTGTTAGCTTTCAGGACAATAGATGGTTTCTTTTTTTTTTAAAAAAAAAAAAAAGCAAACGTTTTCTATACATAGTAAAGGGAAAGAAAGAGTGAGTGATGTAATTAGAACTTAAATTAATTGACACACATTGCAAATTAACTTCTGTTTACCAAGCACTGCATTACAAACATTACAATAAAGTGGCCAAATTAGTTCAGCAGAAAAGTATTTTATAGGATGTGGATAAAATGACCAATTATTCCCGGAGCACCAGAAGATACGACAATTACAGAATACTGCTGCTATGTTGCTTGCAGAATATATGGACACACTGAGATACAGTTTTATTGGATCTAAAGGGATTTCTACCTAGAGCTTTAGATATGATGACACTTTAATTGATGGCTTTTTGGGATTTTTAAAAAGTGGCCAAGAACAATTATGCAATATAACCTGTGACTTCCCATGTCTAAGCCTGAAATTCTCCTGGGCCAGAGAAGTGGATGTGCAGACACACACCATTAGCGGCATTCTCCTTCTGAATGACATGTCTCATGTCTCTGTTATTTCACAAATAGATAGAAGATGAAAGGAATCTTCATGAAGATTATGTGTTCATGAAAATGATACAGAGATGCACCAAAGGAGAGGGGTCCTTATCCTTACTGAACTGTGAAGAAATTAGAAGCCAGTTCGGAGGCTTCGTCAAGGTAAGGAGCGCAGTTGTTGGTAAACGTGTTATATTGAAAAGTTCTACTGCATTTGCTAGGTTGGCAAACTGAAATCTGACCGTGCAAAAGTTCAAACATTTGTAATATGTGTATGTGTGTGTGTGTATATATATGCTTGTGTTTTTGGTATATATCTATATAGCCAAAATGCTATGTTAAAAGGGAAAGGAAAGTTGAAAGTAGGCACATTAATACTTGATAAGAACAAAAAGGCTTCCACAGGCATCATTCACACACACACACACACACACACACACACACACACACACGCAGCCGTCTCTGGGCAAAGTTATAAAGCATGCCCAGCTTGCTTTTTGTATTTCTTTGACTCCCCACCCAGACCTCTATGCCTTCTCACTGTGGACCCCATTTCCCAAGGAAGCAATAACCATTGGCCACTGCAGCGTTGGCAGGCCATGAGTTAAGGTTTTGTCTTCATTGGGAGTCCTAGGGACTCCTGAAGACTGATAAGCTTTAACATATAAAGCAACACTTCTCTGATGATGGATTTTCAGGAGCCATGAAAGTGAGAATTTTTTTTTCTTTTATTATGGGGAGGGGCGCAGGGAACAGGTGGACTTTCTCAGTTCTGCTCACATCAGACCCTACATGATACCCCTTGCTCATGAAGCCAGACCCTTCTAGGGCCAACCGTGACTTGAGGCAGAGCAGGCTCAAAGCCTCCCAGCACAACAGACTGGTATCCAGCCCAAAGTCCTTGCAGTGGTTGTGGCCCATAATGAGTTCTAAAACAAGAATGTTGTAGAACCTTTTCTGAAGATACACCCACAACATCCACTACCTTATCGCAGACATGGGCTCTCATGTCTCTTTCTCCTGAGGCAGAAATTTGAGAATTCTTTTAGACCTTTTGCTCTCAGAACACTGAATCAAACACCCTTGGCCCTCAGCTCCCTTTGGGGTTGTGTCCAGGAGGTAGTACTCCACATCTAAGAGAGCTCTGTACCAGAGTAAGGAGTTAGTTCTCCGGTTGTAATTGTCCTATTGGGGAAAACAAACTAACAAATAAAGTCCAAACTATGGCTTTACAATGAGTGACGTTGGGGAGTGGATAACAGACAGGAAGTTGGTGATCGCAGGTGGACTGAGTGGCCGGAGGACTTTGTATAAACCAACCGGAGTTAGTTCTCACATGGGGACTGTGTGTAATTTAACCCAGGCGTGAAGGGCTTTAGAACTCACACCAGAGCTCATTCCTCTCCTCCTATATTGTCGCTCATGTGTAATTGAGCCCAGAGAAGACTCTAAGAGGTTATACCTGAGTCACCTCTGGGGATCAGAATGCAGCTCAAAGCTGCTGCTGGTTCTCAGGTTCTTTACATTAATCTAGGTTGTAGATGAAGACCTCTAACCATTATTTGCAATGCTTGGCTTGCCAACCTTGGCAAATATTTGAGTTTCTCTGGTTCTTTGAGGATTCTGCGAGCTCTGGTGGTTTAGCCTAAGGCATTTGACTGCTAAGCAGAAGGCTGGTGGTTCAAACCCACCAGCCACTCCTCAGAAGGAAGACTGGGCAATCTACTTCCATAGTGTTACTGCCTTGGAAACCCAAGGAGGGGTTGCTGTGAGTCAGATCCAACTCAACGGCAGTGAGTTTGGTTTTTGTTTTGTTTTGTTTTATTTTGTTTAGGGTTCTGGTCAATATGACAGAGTATTAAGAGGCATTGTATATTTAAAAGTGAATAAAACTCTTGTCACAAGAACAGTTGATAATACAAATAGCATATTGAATGTGTGTTCTGTGTGACCTTGAGCAAATGACTTCACCTCTCTGGGCCTCAGTTTTCCCAGTTATGAAATGAGAGGGTTGAAATTATCTGTGAGGGGACTGCAAGCTCTGACATTGTGTAATTATGTGAACTGCATTAAGTTCTCTCCGCTGGCAGTGAGAACAGTTGTTGGGTTTTTTCCTCCCTCTCTCTTTCTTACTGAGGGCTTGACAGTTGAACTGCAAATTTTTCATGTCTTCATTTCATGTCGGAGACGTAAAACTTACAGAATCAGCTACTCAGAACCAGAGAAGGGAAAACAGCTGGGTCGGACACCCTGCTTAAGCTGGTATAAAAATAGTGACAGCTCCAAAGTTTCATATTCTACAAGGGTCGACCTTTTCAGACACGTCACCTTGCCGCTAGTGCAGTGTGTATGGAAGCTCGTTGAGTGCATCTGTACCCGTGAGACACACGAGGGTTACATACAAAGTCCTCCGGCCACCCAGTCCACCTGCGATCACCGACTTCCTGTCTGTTATCCACTCCACAGCGTTGCTCATTCTAAAGCCATAGTTTGGACTTTATTTGTTGGTTTGTTTTCCCCAATAGGACAATTACAGGATAACCCCAGACTGGATTTTTATTTTCTTACCAAATGATAGCTGTGTTTCTTTCTGAGCAATGGAGTTTGAAATTTGGGGCTTCCAATCATAGGGCTTAAAGGGGATTTTAGAAATCATCAAATTCAATTCTCAATCCAGAACTTCAGTCTCCTCCCCTCTGTCCCTACCAAGGAGTCATCCAATCTCCATTTGAACACTCTAGTGACAAGAAGGGAGCTCTGGTGGCATAGTGCCTAATGCATTTGACTGCTAACCAGAAGGCTAGCAGTTTAAACCCACCAGCTACTCCTCGGAAGGAAGCTAGGCAATCTACTTCTGTAGAGATACCACCTCAGAAACCCAAGGAGGGGTCGCTATGAGTCAGAGCCAAGTCGATGGCCGTGTGTTTAGCTTTTTTTTTTTTTTGGTTTGGTTTGTTTTTTGGGTTAGTGACAAGAAAACCATTATCTCTTGAGGCAGGGAGCACAGAACTGCCAATTTGGGAGGAAGATGGGACTCGGGGATTATGTTAGGGGACGCAGAGACAGCAGTTTTCATAGTGCAATCTCACACCAAGATTCACTACCCACCCACCACCTGTCACAATGATCAGTCCCGTGATTACCTGTCCACCAATGCCTGGGATCCCCTTGATAGGTAGGGTCAAAGCATTTCCTTTTGTGATGAAAGGTAAACATGTCTGTACCTGCTACCTAGAGCTCCCACTAACAGAGAAATCATGAATCCCAGATTTTTCTGAGGCCAACTTTTAAAAATCTTTCAGTTCAGGTAGGGAGTGGAGCAAGGGGACGGAAGGCCAGGGAAATGTGGCTGGGGGAAAGTTCACAGAAAGGCAAAGTTGGGTGCATACAAGACAGCTTTGCTGACTTCACATTTTCATCTGAGCCAGGCCCTGACACCAATGCACCCACCCAGCCTAGAAGTATCTCAACCTTGATCATCACACTCCATTTTTCAAAAATACACGAAATAGTCATTTGCTTACTTATCTCGCAAACATTTTCCTGCGGCCGCATTTTCAACGTGCGGCGCTTCAGCTCAAATGGAAAGTTGAGATGCGGCCATGTGAGCATTTGGAGGCGCAAGCTCCCCTTTGTGCTCTTGCCATCTGGCAACTGAGCTGAGCCTACAACGATACACTCAACAGGAACCACCAAAGTTCCTTCTAGACGAGGAACAAAAAGGAAAGCTCCTGAGGACAATTGGTTCCAGCAATGGGAAGGAGCACAAGGCCTTTGATTATCTGAACACTTGAAACTACTACTGCCTTCCTCCCTTCAGATCAGAACACAGAGTGATAGAGAGAGCTGAGCTTCGCCTCTGAATGTGACCTAGCAGTTTCTCTTCTTGGCTTCAGCCTCAGACTCCTCGGGGAACCTCATTCTCCGGAGTCTCTAGTTACTGTGAAGTCAGCTCCAACTCCTGGCAACCCTTGCGGCAGAGCTCCACAGGGTTTTCAATGGCTCAATTTGTAGAGATCAGCAGGCTTTTCTCCCAAGGCAGCTCTGGGTGGATTGCAGATGCAATCCTCCAACCTTTCGGATAGCAGCTACGCAGCCAAACGCATTAACCATTTGCACCACCTCATTCCGGTCCATTAAGACATCCAGGGCTTTGATTCAGTGTTTAAATGGCAGCAGTAGCCTTCATTACCTTCTAACCTGTGTTGAGGACAATTCCTGTTAGTGTCTTTAAGTACCTCTAGCCTTCCTTCAGTCATAGAGTGAGAAGAAACCCCTTAAAAAATGTTGCAGTTGCCTTTGAACATCAGCAGCATTGGGAGACAACCTGTGTTTTCTAAATGCTGATTGTTCTACATAAATATGGGCCACTCAGGGCAACCAGCAACAAGAGAATCTCTTCAGCTCATTAACAGGAACAAGAACATTAAAAAAAAAAAAGGTCAGAAGGCCTTTTTATAATCTAGGATTTCTCTCCCAAGATCAAACTAACTATTTCCTTTTCCTAAGAGATTTTAGACCAATTTTATCCTAATAAATACAGCACAATGCTTTATGCTTAATAATATCCATATACCAGTCCCAGGGTAGAAGCATCCCCCCATCCAGTATTATTTGTCAATACCTGTCAAAGCCAGGGAGGCTGGGGTCACAGGAGGGGCCAGTATCATAGCCTCTGATCTGCAGAAAGCACTGGAATGAAGATAGTAAGGCCAGATTCTGCTTCCGGATTCACTGCTGGGCTTTCTGGGCTGTCAACTCATCTGGTGTTATGAAATTAATGACAGGACCTGAGTCTATATGACAATCCTCAGCAGAAACAGAGTAATGACAGATGCCAAATGGAGAACTGTTCTCATAGCAGAGCCCCTGCCCAACTGATCTTTTGCAATGATTCTCATTTTAGGATATAGTGCTAAATGAAGAGGCAAAGAAGAAAGAAAAAACTTTTGAAATGCAAAGAGGTAGGTTGCTATTTACCAACTTCTATGAATGCTTACAAACGAAAAGGAGATTTAGGTTGATTATATTAAATAGCCCAGTGTTGAATCTGGAAACTTGTAGCTCTGGGGGAAAAAAAAAAAAAAAAAAACAGGAGCTCAATGGTCAAAATGACACCTTCTCTGGTCCTTGTGGTTTGGAAAGGATTCGTGTATACATGTTTATGAGGAAGGCTTTGCTCCTTTAATGTTGACAATACCAAGTACAAAGAAATTCCATTATTTGTAATACTTTAATCAAAGTAACCATACAGCCTGGGACCACCTAAGGTGGATAAGATGACAGGAAAGCCATAGTGGCATTCATTTGCCCAATGATAACAGTTGGTCATGAGGAACAGTGGCCAGGTGGAGCCTCTGAGATCAAGGAATGATTCCTATGACAGTATTCTTGATTCTCTTCTTGAGATCCTGGAATCCCAGACATCTCATAGTGGGAAGGGACCTGGATCATTCTCAAATCCAGCACCATTCCTGGAGCACAAGTCTTCTTCCCAATAGCACTTATTGCCCAACCTCAGATGGAAGTTGTCTAGGGATGAGGCACCTTCTACCTCATAAGGCAGCCTGGTCCATCTATGGATAGCTCTAATGATGGTAGTAAGATTACTATACTGCCAAGAGGAGTCTATTCTTCTCTTGAGCCAAAAGGTACCTACCTGAAATCTCCACTTGCTGGATCTCATTCTGCTCTTTGGGCCCGTATCAATCCAAGTATCATTCCTCTCCTCCACAGCAGCTGCCCAGGTACTTAAGACAGTAATCACAGCCCCCAGAGGCTTTTCTTTCCCAGACTAAACATCCCCAAAATCTTCCACTGTTCCTCCTACGACACTTTCCAAACTCTTCCTCTCCTAATTGTCTCTACTTCTGGACACACTAACTTTTTCCTCTCCTTCTTAGAATATAGTGCTCTGAACCAAACACACTATTTCCCGAAGTAAACTTAGCAGCAGAGTATGGGGAACGTAGAGTAGTGGTCAAGGAGGTGTTGGTAGAGAGATTGTTATCTCATGGAGCTGGTGTACATGATGCTATGGCTTGTGTAAATTAGCACATATACACAGAGCTATAGATACCGCTTGTGAGGCAAAGAGAGCACTCAGAGCTTGCCTTAACTATTGGCCTGGAAGCTACAGGGTCGTCTGATTTCCACGAATATTTTGCTTTTAAAATGAGTGACTGTAAGATATGTTGAGTGGTAACATGTTGTCTGTTAATTACCATGAAATCTGAGGAAACAGTTAATGGGAAGGCTGCCTAGCAGTCTTCAGTAAAATGATAGACTTAACCAACTGGTAATTTATGTTATATGATTTAACTCAACATTTATAACGTGCCTACAAAGTGCCCAGCACTAGGCTTATAACTGGAGGAAAAAAAAAACAACAAACTTCCACACGTCTCTGCCGTTTGGAATATTGGCACATCTAATTACAGGAGCAAAGCTTTGACATGAGAAACAGAGAAAGATACAGTAGTTTGACCATTCTAGTAGTCAGACACTAGAAGGATCTTACTAGCTGAGTGTGTAGACATGACGTTGGGGCCACCAAGACTTTCAGTGTTTGGGAGTTGTTCCTAAAAGCCAGATTCATGATATATTGAAGGAAGACCAGTGTTTTTGGGTTGTGTCAATCTACATGAAATAGAATTAAGTACTGAACAACTATTAAGAACATAGGGTCAATGGCAACACCCAATTAAATTGTTAAGATTTGTTAGAAATCAACTTTTCCCTCAGTGGGAGGGATTCCAGACCATTTTCTCATCCCTTTCATGAAGCCTATTCAGGCACAGTCTCTATTACATGGTCAGACTGGACCAAATAGTTCTGTGGGCAGTTTTGTGTTATTTTGGCCTGACAGGTTGCTTTTGGTTTCATTTCAGGTGATCAGGAGCCTCAAATTGCAGCCCATGTCATAAGTGATGCCAGTAGTAAAACAGCATCTGGTAAGTCCATGGCATTCTGAGCATCAGTCACCCAAGGGAAAGTGCTGGGGTATGGAAGCAATTCAGCTTAGGCTCCTCTCTTCCTCTGGGCCCCAATTTACAAACCAACCCATACACCTCACATGTGATCCCCTTTGTCTTCAAAATGAGTTTAAATGTCCAGATGGGAGTTGGAGGGACAGAAGGAAGAGGGAAGTAGTCTCCACATCCTGATTATGTTCTTGCTCAATGACTGATTCTAAGTGATGAGTTACTGGGTGGAGAGACTATTATTCTGACAGCATCGAAGAAATAGCAGGTAGTGACTGGAAGCATCCCTCCTCCCGAACTCTCCTCACCACGTGTAAATGAGTCTCTGGGGTATTTCCTGCCATCTGTCAATCCCTGTATGATTAACCCCAACCTCCTTGGGGCCAGCCTCAGGGAAATTAAAGGTAAAATCATTCTGCAAAGATCAATAGGTGCCAGGACATTGGATTTTCCAATGAAGTAACAACTGATGACATACTGTGATCTTTTCAAGTCTGAACCATTTTCTTTCCGTACATGTTCTGCCATCATTCTAGCCTTTAGATTTTTCCCCCCAAAATCCGTACCTTGCAATAGTTGTGCTGGAGAATGTGTTGCATCTGATAAATGCATACATGCTAGCATAAAATCCCCCATCAACATAAAGGCAGTCTGAGAGCATGAGTATCTTTGAAAATTCAGCAGAGTGCTCTGGGATGGAATTCTAATGAAAGAAAGAGAGAACACGAGATCACCTCATCTCAGAGGTCATTCGGGTTTCTCAGTGGGTGTAATATATGCAAAGCCAGCATGGAATGCAAGAGCACTGGATAGGGAGTTTTGGCATACTGGGGTCCAAGAACCGTGGCCACCACTTGCTGGGTGACCTTGAGCAAGTCCCTTTTCTTACACAACAGATTCCTGTCTTGCCTACTTTACAGGGTTGCTCTGAATAGCAAATCAGCCCTAATGTGGAAGAAAGTTAAGCTGTCAAGTGTTGTACCAATGTAAGGTGTCACCGCTTAGCGTACTTCACTGTGGTTTATATGTCAAAAGAATGGCATGAAGACTTTCACTAGTATCAGTTATACCTATGACATTTAATAATTCTGTGAAGTACCTTTTTCTCAGAAAATACACTTATGGGAAAACATTATGACTATATTGGCACGTCCAAGGCCATCCACGTGGCACCTTCTCATTTGGATTGGATGACAGCAACAAAGAAACCTCCAATAATAGCTTTCTACTGATCTTTGTTCATCTGTATCCGAATCCAGTTTTTCTTACTTTTGGATTTATTTCATGGGGCTCATGTTCTCCCAAAAGGCCCTTGGTTGATATTGGTCCTGGAATATTTTACAGTTTGCATCACAGAAAGTCTGCAGGGCATCAGGTGGGAAGATAATAATATTTCCATCCCCTCTCTGCATCAACCCCAAACTTCTCATTCTTATCTTGTCATGCTGTTACAGACTGCACCTTCCTTCCTCAGCAAGGACTAAACTTAACCGGACTTTCTGAAAGACAGGGCTCCTACTCCTTTATTCTCCATCACATGGTTCAAAAGTGAAAAGTTGGGGGCTGATTTCTATGTCAGGCATTTCAGATGTCTCCTTATTCCTAAAGAAGCTCTGGTGGCATAGTGCCTAAGGCATTTGACTGCTAACCAGAAGGCTGGAGGTTCAAACCCACCAGCCACTCCTCGGAAGGAAGATGGGGCAACCGACTTCCATAGTGATACTGCCTTGGAAACCCAACAGGGGTCGCTATGAGTCAGATCCAACTCGAAGGCAGTGATTTTGGGTTTTTGTTTTTGCCTTATCCCTAAAGGAATAAGGTAAGATCTTACACCATGATAAGCCTAAGACCACCCAGTGGAAATGAAAAAAAAAAAATGGCTCAGGGAAGGATCTGCATCAGTACACTTTCACTTCTCCCCACCCCCACCCCACCTCAGTAGACCTCTGTGGGAGCTGAGATTTGAAATCGGGTGCACACACCACTTTGAACCCACTCACCATCTCAGCCGAGAAAATGGCACACTGTTGGTGGGTACTCGGCCTAGCCACAAGAATACAGGTACTTTCAAGTTGATGGCGCCCACTACAATGGTAGATCAAAACACAGCGTGAAATGACAGGTTTATTTTCATACTTCCTTGCCTAATTTTAGTCGTTGCTGTGGGAGGCAGGTCGAATTTGCAACGGCATGACCGCTAGGAAGAAATGGGGTCTTTCCTTCTCTCTATGCTGACAACTCCTTGACTTTAGAAAATTCAAGGCAAGGTGCTGATTTCATATTAGCAAGGATTTTGTCAGAATAATTTGGCATTTGTAATTTATAGTGAGGAGTTTTGAAATCATTGGCACTTTCTTAAATTCAAGGGCGAATTGGCTTTAAGAATTCTTGGTGGGAGCTAGAAATTCATGGGACTCTATGCTTTTTTATGCAATCTTCTCCACAAATCTTTGAGATAGGCTTGAATATTAGCTCATGTTGCAGATAATGAAGAGTCTCTGGGAGGTGCAAATGCTTAAGCACTCAGCTACTAACCACAGTGTCGGTGGTTTGAATCCACCCAGATACACCTCGGAGGAAAGGTCTGGTAATCTTCTTCCCAAACATTTGCCACTGAAAACCCTAAGGAGGGCAGTTCTACTCTGAAATACATGGGGTTACCATGAGTCAGAATCAACCCGATGGCATTTGGCTTGCTTTTTGTTTTTGTTTTTCCTGGTATGGATGGGGAACTGAGACTCAGGGAGATTTAGTGATTTGCCCAAGCTTAAATGAAGCCTAGAGTAGAACCAGGTTCCATCTGACTCTAGAGCCCATGCTGATATGTGAGCCATAGTTCTTCTCTAGATCCTGAGGGCCAGCAGAGTCTTGAGGAATCCCCGATGCCCAGATCTTCCATCTGTATAATGGAGCCAGTGTCCCATATGGAACTATATTTTCTACTAGAATGTGAACCATGATATGCGTCACCTCACCACAAATTTTTCCCTTCTCCATTACAGTTCTACAGTGGGCTGAAAAAGGATATTACACCATGAGCACCAAGTTGGTAGAACTCAAATATAAGAAGCAGCTGACCGTTCAAAGACAAGGACTCTATTATGTCTATGCTCAAATCACCTTCTGTTCCAATCGGGAAGCTTCGGGACAAATGCCATTTATAGCCAGCCTCTGCCTGAGGTCCCCGAGTGACTCCGAGAGAATCTTACTCAGGGCAGCAAATACCCACAGTTCCTCCAAACCTTGCGGGCAACAATCCATCCACTTAGGAGGAGTATTTGAACTGCAATCAGGTGCTTCGGTATTTGTCAATGTGACTGATCCAAGCCAAGTGAGCCACGGGACTGGCTTCACGTCTTTTGGCCTACTCAAACTCTGAACAGTGGAACCTCTCGGACTGTGGCTGAGCTGATGCGGGTAGTCTTCATAATACAGCAAAGCAGTTAAGACCACCCCCCTGTTGAACTGCCTATTTATAACCCTACGATCCTCCTCATGGAGAACTATTTATTATGCACCCGAGGCATATAGGGCTGTAATAAGTGAATTACAGGGCAGGGAAAACCAAAACAGGCCCTGCTCCTAAGAGCTTATATTTGGAAGCAGAAACCCTACTGATACAGACATCTAGGGTCATAAGAAAAGTGAAAGTCATCGTGCACAGAATGAAAGCTGAGCAAACAGCAGATAATTTGCCACATTTAGTTTTGTTTCTTTTGTGTGCAATGTCTTCCAGTGGATCAAGTATTTGGCCAGTGGAGATGTGGAAGGCTCAGCTCATGTTCAATTATGGTTGACTTTGGGACACTGTGGCCCTGATAGAGGGAACCAGGTCCTAGAAAGTCCAACACAATGGAGAACTGAAAAACACTGGTTCCACCACATACCCTGACACTCAGTCTCTCCCTCTCTTTACCACACTCACCCACCCACACACACACATCAGGCAGTTGCTAATCGGTTATCTAATTTCAAGCCTGTCCCTATCTCCACTTCTGTAGATGAGGGAGGGCAGGCAAGGCAGCTTTGAGCCCCGCTCACTCCTCATCATGAAGTGACCATATTTAAAGGAAATCTACTGTATCTATCTGCAGTCTCCATAGTTTCCAGAGTGAATTTGTGATTATCTTGTTATTTATTTTCAAATAATAAAGATTTCATAACATTACTGTTGTCATGTATTACCTAAAGCTCTAGGCTGTGTCGAGGGAGGAGGAAGCATTTGGAGGGAATAGTCCAAACCTTTGTGATGTCTCATAAACTGTTCTTAAGCTTGTTGCACCACAAAAATATCTTGGTGACAGCATACTCTCCGGAAGTCTACTGTAGCCTTTGATGGACAATGTGGAAGTCCGTGCAGTGACAAGCAATCTGGGTCTTTATTTCCAGTTTTCTCTAGAGAAGTTGCAGAAGATTGAATGGGATTATTTTTTTCTTGATTAATCACAGCTATAAGAGGCTGGGAAGGAGCTATGGTGGCCCAGTGGTTGAAGTATTTAGCTGCTAACCAAAAGGTCAGCAGTTTGAACCCACCAGCAGCTC